CGAATGTTGAAATCAAGTGTATCGTGAAGTTATATTCAGGAAGAATAAACCAGTTTTATTAAGTAAAGAACTTGTGTCGCAAGTTTCGTCGGAACGAAGTTACGGAAAGTTAATTAACAAACGGAGACGGAACAATATTTTTAATTTTTAGAAAAATAAGTCGCAAATGCAAGATTAGATATTTAATAATTCAAAAGGATTACAAACAAAAACCACTTTTAATTTAGATCTTAGGAATCTTTTATGAACAGGAAACTACCTGACGCGATTTTTTACATTCTTTTAATGACGTTCCAGTCTCTATTGAGGCCTTCTTCAGATACTCAATAATCTTCAGGCGATTTATGAGCTTTCATTCCAGTTTCATAAACTCATTTAAATAAACATAAATATAATACATTAGCATTTAAGACATTACAAATGTATTATACTTGTAAGATACGGTTAAATCTGGTAAATTAATCTCAAAGTTCATACATAAATTTCAAATTTTAATTACACATATTATTGTTTTGGAAGAAAACGTAGGAAATGGTGGTTTGTTTTTTCGGATATTCGCACAAAGATATACATGAGATATTTGCGCTAACTTTCCTTGATTTTGAACTGATTAACTAGAAGGGAGGGCAACTGACTAGTCAACAACACCCATTGCCAGCTCTTGAGCTTCTATAATCCAATAGTGGGATTTGACAGTCATTCTTCTAACACACCCACGATCGTAAAGTATGGAGCACGTTTGTTTTTTGTAACATGATGTAAACCATAGACCTCGAATTCACAGTCCAGTACGCTAATCACTAGGTCACATCCGGTCAGAAGGAAAAGGAGAAAACACTTGAGAATTCTAACTTAAACTGAAATGCACAAATAATTATTAAGGTTGAAAAGATGTAACTGCACCTGAGTGACTGTATAAACACCATTTAGGTGGCATAAGTATTTTGTGGTAATATATATATATGTTAAGTCAACATTTTTTTAAAATTAGGGACAGATATGCGCAGATAGTTTTGTGTAAAACTCCTGAATTTCTGCGTTTTTTTTTTCCAAACTAAATTAACTCTAAAAATGTATTGTAATTGTAAAGTCCACATTTTTCCTATATATCTTTCCTGGTATTGAATTTAGGATTTATAAAGTAGCCCATCATTTAGATTTGCGCTTTAACTCAAACAAAAGTCAACACTTTTTTTTTTTTGGTATGTTTTTAATGTTTATAAAAAT